GTGGAATGACAGCCCCAGGGTGGAGCAGGACTGTTCAGGAACTGGTATGACAGGGCCACGGAGTGGAATGACAGCCCCAGGGTGTGCCAGGAGTGTTCAGGAACTGGGATGACAGGGCCAAGATCGGAATGACAGCCCCAGGGTGAGAGTGGAATGACAGCCCCGGGGTGGAGCAGGAGTGTTCAGGAACTGGAATGACAGGGCCAGGAGTGGAATGACAGCCCCAGGGTGGAGCAGGGAGTGTTCAGGAACTGGAATGACAGGGCCAGGAGTGGAATGACAGCCCCAGGGTGTGCCAGAAGTGTTCAGGAACTGCAATGACAGGGCCAGGAGTGGAATGACAGCCCCAGGGTGTGCTAGAAGTGTTTAGGAACTGGAATGACGGGGCCAGGAGTGGAATGACAGCCCCAGGGTGTGCTAGAAGTGTTTAGGAACTGGAATGACGGGGCCAGGAGTGGAATGACAGCCCCGGTGTGGAGCAGGAGTGTTCAGGAACTGCAATGACAGGGCCAAGAGTGGAATAACAGCCCCAGGGTGGAGCAGGAGTGTTCAGGAACTGGAATGACAGGGCCACGGAGTGGAATGACAGCCCCAGGGTGTGCCAGGAGTGTTCAGGAACTGGAATGACAGGGCCAGGAGTGTTCAGGAACTGGAATGACAGCCCCAGGGTTCAGAATATTTTTTTTCCTGTTTTCCTCCTCTAAAAACTCTGTGCGTCTTATGGTCAGGTGCGTCTTATGGTCCGAAAAATACCGTAAATGTACACAGAAGTGTGGAATTATGGTACTGATCTTTCCTTTTTTTTTAGTTTACATGCTCACATATGACATTCTTGGCTTTAATTTGGTTATCATTGAACTGGCCAGAACAAACATCTGTTAGACATAAGAGAGTTACTATGACAATATTTAAGAATCCCCACTTACAGAAAAGCAAGAGCTAGTGCAATAGGATAGGGAGGCTCTCATTGGCTGTGTTCAATACTCCCAAGCATCACTAAAGCTAAAACAGAAACTCATGGTCTGAAAACAGAAAGTCCACAACATTTTGCCTTCTAACCATCCTACCTTGCTGTTGAATTCCACTTGTTCCTGTATGAGATTCTCCTAGGGCACATGTTTGAATATTCCCTGTATGACCTTCACCTGTTCCCATTTGAGATCCTAGAGGAGAAAGTCAACAGACAACTTGCTTGTTTCTAGAAAGAAGACTTAGTTTGCCAGGTAAAAGATTCCTTGCCAGGTAAAAGATTCCTCCGCATGCAGGGAGGGCGGGGTATAAATAAAAATAAATAAATAAATAAATAAATTTTGGTAGTTTATTTGCTTAGTATTCCTATCCCCCAAAATGCGGAAGCACTAGCATGCACAAAATAAACTTCATTCTATTAGGGATAGCAGATAATTTATGATCCCATCCAAAATGAGATTAATGAATTTTAGCCTCATGATATTATTTAGAAGGCACACAGACTAAGCTATAAGAGCCTCTTCAGAGCGTAAAGTCCTAACTGTATACCAGAAGATGTTGAAGCTTAATCTAATCTCTGAGAAGGTAATCCCAGTTCTACCCCTGTAAATGATTTGTAAATACTCTTCCCTTGGTTTATGGTAACCTAGAAAGATCCTCCTTTTATCCTTTAAAGATAAGTGTATACAACTGTAAGAATAAATTTAAACATTTACATGCTATTTTGCAGAGAACATAATTTTGAAGTATTTATAACCTTAAAGTCACAATAGTCTACTCTATATGGTATAGTAAACCTATCAGGACACGTGTGGACTTTTTTTTTTTTTTTAAATCTCATTCTGTGCTGAGTAGAAGTTATGCACTCCAGCAAATGGATGTCAACACTCCGGGTTTTGAGCGTTTCCCCCCTTTATCTTATTTGGACTGCGCGTTTCACTACCACACATTCTGAACAAGATGCCTCTTTGCACTTTATGCTGTTTCCCAGGATTTCCGCACCCCCCCCCCAAAACTAAAGGGGGGCCTCAGTGGGCTGCAGCAAGAACAAGGAATCAGTGAAAATCACTACTCAAAAAAGCCTAGATGCTCTTAAGTCCTCTAAACTGCCTGAATACAGACCAGTAACAAATATTCTCTCTGTAAACACGTCAGAGTTAAGCTTATAAAAATTGACTTACATTATGAACACTCATACCGTAGAAGGGAAGTTTTAATCCTTTATATGCTAAAACATTACAAGTAGTGTTTACTACAACACCACCGCACTAGCTCAGTAAGACAGATTTGGTGATATTCTTCAGCAAATGCTGCTATTTTGCATTTTCTTTCTGACATTTACTAGGGCAGGGATAACTTACCACTTGCACTGGTACAACCAGGGAGGTTCTCCCCTGGTGAATATCCCATTAGGCCACCATTCCCATTTCCATTCCCATTAGAAGGCACTGATGCAAGAAGGCCTAACAACAACAACAAAAACCCCGCAAAGTACATTAACACCACAGTGGAGAACAAACATGCTTATGTTTATTTATTTATGTTTAAAGATGTTTAACATACATCTTTCCATTGATTTTCCCTTCAGTAATTGAAAGTCTCTCTCTTTACTTACTGATCACAGAATTATGTCTTTTAAAACAGAACTTTGCATTTCTGAAAACATGATAAAATACAAATGAGCCCATTATGATTAGGTAAAATAAGCTGACTGTACCTTTCTTTACATTTACTTTTCAGTCTTGGTGCTTTAAAATGTAAAAATAAAAAAAAAAATACCACAAATAATAAATGAGAATGTACAGGATAATGATAAAAGTTCTTTGTTCAACTATGCTGTTATGATGATGTCATATGCAAGAGCCTACAGAACAGAACCCTTTGGAGCAAGGTACAGATCTGGTTGCTGTGACATGCACCAGCATTAAACCAAGCTGCCGAGCTTCCTGATTACTGCCTTCACCCATTCCTAACTCAAGTGTCCCACTAAGTTTATTACAAAATACAAAACTGATACAAAGGTTAGGCTTGGACGTAAAGGCAGACAAAGCAATAATTGTAGAACAGGGATAGGATAGCACACAGAATGCTAAAGGATTACCAAGCATTGATATCTGGAAAGTTAATAGTGTAATCCTAGCCAGAATAACTCCTGTTTAAACTCATTGATTTCAATGATCTTAGACTGAATTAACTGTGCACAGGATTGCACTGTAAGTCAGTCCTACAGTAGAAGTATAGCAAATTTTCCCAGCAAATTGACAGGTACTCTTTCTCTGTAGAAAAAAAGATGTCAGGCTTTCAAAGTAGGCAATCTAAACTAGACCAGTGGAAGTATCCCTTATCCACGGTGAAGACAGCTAACTTAAATATGGAAAAGCAACACACAGTGCCTCCTTTACCATCTCATATCCTTGTCCTGGGGAAAAAAATTCACCCAGAGCCTACAGATGAATAAGAAGATGTGTATGGAAGTGCTCTGCATACCACTCTACAGGAGGTTCTTGAGTTGGCCAGTCACAGAAGGGAGTGAGCAACAACCTCAAATCTGTGCTGCTGCTGAGAATGTGGCACTACAAGCAAGTAAGCTAGCTAATGTAGAGACTTGTCATACAAAGAATTTTACTTGATAAATGACCTTTAGAACTGCTTTCAACAATGTAAGTGACATGCAGTAAAGAAGCCGCTGAAGAAGTTAATGTTAACAAAAGGCCCAGAAGAATTAACCCTTATTTCCTACTTTTCACCTACAGCCAATTAGTTTGCTACAAATTAGTACCAACACTTTGATAGTATCCAGGTCCTATGGCTACAAGTAGGCAGTCCTGTATGGGAAAAAGTACACTTCCAAATTAAACATACCCAATCCTCTGTATCGTGACAGTTGCTGATAGATTTGTTTCATTCTTTCAATGTTCAGGCGACTCGCCTCTGCATGATTTACCATTGGCTTAGGGTAATTCACTCCTATCATACATTTTGCAGCCTTCTGAACACCCTCAGGGGCATTCCAAGGATCGTATATGTATTTTGCTGGAAACCCTCGGAGAACGGGTAAATATCGCCTTCCGAAAAAAAAGAACACGTTTAAATTAGTCTTATATGGTACAGATTGATAAACTCAGTGTTTAATTTGGCTGATATTCGACAAAAATGTTTAACCTGATATAGTCTCCATTAGGATCAGTTCTTCTGCCGAAACCCACAGGACAGTAGCAGTGGAAGAACTGCTGGAAGAAGGAGCTACAGGACAGCCACATCCAACTGCCTGCGTTTACACTCCAGTCAGCATCCAGCAAAAGTTCTTCAAACACCTGGGGGGTGGGGGGAAGAAGAGACATTACATTAATCTGAACATGCAGATATTTTCAATAAACCACTTTTAGAAGATGCTCACTTTTCAAAGCATTCATAAGAAGCCATGCTTACTATTAAGCTATGTACTACTGACAGTACTAATATGCAATATCCTGATCAAGTGCAACAAAGTATATATGAGGATTACATGTAGCAAAATGCCTTCAGGCCTTGTACATGCTGACATAAAAATATAGATGTTCAAGGGACATATGAAGTCAATTCTATGAGTGACAAAGGTATCAGGGCAGGCCCCCTGCTGTGGCCAAAGCCAATTCACAGGCTTCACAGAATCAAAACACCCACAGTATCATCTCACTTATCTATTCTTTATGTATTCACTCTGTGTTTCTCACCAATGGGGACTCGAAGTGGCTTCCACATTGTTCTCTTCTCATCCATTTTATCCTCACAATAACCCTATGAAGTACCTTATGCTGAGAGTGTGTGACTAGTCCAAGTTCAACCAGGAAGCTTCCATGGGTGTTCCAGATCCTAGTCTGAACCTCCAGCCTCTATACCAACACTGGCTTTCCATCTGATATGCTTTTCAGTCATAAATTTACGTACGGAAAATTCATACAAGAAAAGACTGGGTGACATGTAATCATATCAGCTCTCCACTAGATGCTGCTACTTAACTAAAATTGCTGAAGTTATATAACAATAAATGTGTCACGTTTATGGCTGTTGTGACAAGAGACTAAAATTTTATTCTACAGGTTTAGCAATGCATAATACAAGGCTATCTATTCAAAGGATGGCCAATCATTATATCATACCACAACATACAGGATCATGTGCTGTAAGATCTTTACCACAGACAGCCACAAGCTGTTGTGCAGAACTAAGGTGCATAACAAAAAAGTTGTTTCAAGGCTATGTAGCTATCAACCCAAAATCTGAAATAGTGACACCAGAAAGTCACCAATTGAAAAATGTACCTTCATTCCTTCTTCCCAACTAATCCACAGATCACCCCGAGTTAAGAAACATGCCACAGCATGTCTGGCCAAATGGTGGATCCAGCCTTCCTGACGAAGCTGAGTCATAATAGCATCTATCCAAGGAAACCCTGTCCTTCCTTCGGCCCATTTTGCCAAAGCCTCAGGATTCTTGTCCCATGGAATCTGCACACATATGGGATTGCCTTCCATTTTGTCAAAGCGTGGATTATTAGTGGCTGCTGTGTAGAAGAATTCACGCCACAATAGCTGGCCATAGAGAGATAGAGGAGGAGAGCTGTTCTTCTTTACCTGAGAATCCAAGCACATGATAGTTAAATAAGATGTGTCAGAGTTTTTAGTCCTACAAAAGTATAACAGTCAAAGTAAGGTCATTCATACCTTTTTGTACAAGTCTGTTAACTTGAAATAAAAGAGGCGGCAAGACAAGCAGCCAAACCGTAGATAGGGACTAAGGCCTGTAGGACTTGCAAGGAGAGAATTTGCATTCATTCGTGGCCTTTCAAAGTTTGCTACCCAAGCCTTAAAGAGAAAACCAAAAACACTGTCAAAAGTTTCTACTTAATTTTTTACTTCACTGAGATCAGTTGAATGTATACCATCACCAGCAACCAAAAAGCATCAGTTTTCATATGTTACCTGTGAATTCTAACAGGTAACATTGACTCTCCTGTATCAAAGGTTTTTTGTGACAAGTGTGAGCTCTACATAGCTACACAAGAACCATTTAGTACCAATTTATTAGCAAAAAATCCACAGTAGTTTTACATTTCAATAGTAGCTAAATTATGTTTATTTCTGTCAGCTAGCAAAAGCCTCTTTGGTCATTCACCCCTAAATGTCATAATCCCATGTGGTTTGGAGTCCAAAGATTTAAGACTAATATTTTGTTCTATACACTGTAAGGACATTAGTTACCATCTACACATAAAATAAACCCTTACAATTAAAATCACTAAAGGTTCAAAACATTCTTCCTAAAGCAAGATGTTAAAATATGCTTGTATATCAGCAACATACCTTTCTTTCTAAATGTCTTTCTAATCTTGTAAGAGCTTCTGTTTCTCCACCTGGCCACACAGCAGAAGGCAATCCATCTGTATCAAAACCTGGAGTACAAAAACATATTACTACTGTTTCAGTACTGCTGTAACATCAACAATATAGTACTGAATAATCATGTTCATGGGAATTATAGCACTCCCCAAAGTTGCTCACTGGCATGCTTGAAAATCGCTTACCTTTAAGAGCTCGCCATGAAAAGAGAACATTCAAAGGGCACATGTAGGACCCTTTCTCTACTCATTTTATTTAAAACCCTAATCCAAAGCCTACCAAATTTCATACTTCAAGTAGACAATCAATGATGTTAGTGGGCAGAGTCTCTTCAAACAGCTACACTTGCAAAATAAATTTCAGATAAATCACCAGTCAAAAGAATGGATGGCACAGAAAAGCATGCTGCTCACTAAAGTCTCTTTTGAAAAATATCAGCAATGCATATCTCATCCCATACATGATAGATTACTGCACAATAGTCACTCTACACTGTATATCTGTGGAACTGACAAGGCACCACATTCTCTGAAAGGATATATATTAATTTTATACATTTATGACCACTGTGTGTTCTAGTACAAATATGATTCAGTAAAGTAGGCTCATTTTAAAGCTGTATTTCATTATTCTGTACCATAGGAGTACAAATGGTGGATACAGCTGTATTTCATGATTCTTTACCACACAAGCACGAAGGCTGGGATCTTCCCCATGACCAATAAAGACAAACTTATGCAGAACAAATATACATAATTTTTTCATTTGCATAGTTTATACCTGAGTGCAGTTTACCATTTGCCTAGAGGGAGTACCATTCCCTTCCTACTCCATCAAACAACCCAGTGACAAACTGCAGCCCAGAGAGTAACTACCTGCAGCCTTGTCTTCCAGTCTTAGGTCTGAAGCCTACAACTGAGAGAGAGAGACCTAATCGACATCTGCACCAGTGGCAGCATGAGACCGAAGAATGAACTACACTTCAAAGTGTGTGTGTGTGTGGGGGTTATATAGTTCTGAATTTTTCCCTTTGCAAAAAGCTTTCTGCACACAGAAAACTACCACAGTGGGAAAATGGCTGTCAATCTCAATTCCACAGCTGGAACTGGGGGATGGGGCAGTTACACAGAGGAGCAGTGAACATGAACATCCTTCACTTTCATTTCAAAATGGTGCTGTCTACCTGAGCATTCTACTACCACATTCCACTGCATGTGTAGACTCAGCTAGGGAAGAAAATAAGAATGCACGCTGAAGTTGAGAGCTGCTGCCTGTTTCCATGGGCCAATCAACTCAGCTTCAGGACTAGCCACAGCAGCAACACTAGGGGTGTGCATTTGGCATAAACTAAGCCAAATAAATACTGATAATGTATTTTTTGGGTATCAAATCAAATTCAAAAACCTTTAATGGCATATGGGGGTGAATTAGAATTAGATACAAATAGAGTCTAAAATAAATGAAATCTGTATTCAACTCTGGATATAGCTGAGCCCCCCAAAAGCAGATTTTATTTGGCTTTTATTTGGGTTCATTAAGCTATACCAAAACCGAGCTGCCAGCCATTTAAACCTAACAGCTGACAAGCAGAGTAGCCAGTCAGCTGTTTGGTTTAAATGCCTTCCCCTTTACTTCCAGCCATTAAACTGGTCAGTTTCACTCCCCTCCACTTCCAAGTGGAAGGGAGTAAAACTGACCAGTTTAATGGCTGGCAAGCATTTCAGCCTAACAGTGGGGCAGTGGGCCTGCCTCCTGTCAGGCTGAAATGGCAGGGAGCCATTTCACCCTTTCCTTTCACTGCCCCTGCTTGGAAGCGGGGGGCAGAGAAACAGAGGGGTTAAATGGCTGGAAGACATTTCAGCCTAACAGCAGGAGTGAAACTGACCAGTTTAATGGTTGGAGGGGAAAGCATTTAAACATGCCTTCTCACTGTTTCTTTCCTTCCCCAGGTGCCCCCACCCCACCCCCGCTGCAGCAGGGAGGCTGGGGAAGGAAAGTGAAGGCATTTAAAGTTGACTTCTCTCTCCTTTCCTTCCCCAGCTGCCCAGCCACTCCCATTGGTCAGTTTCATTCCCCTCCCCTACTCAGCTGTTAGGTTTAAATGGCCTAAACCTAACAGCTGACTGGCAGGGAGTGAAACCGACCAGTAGAAATGGGTTGGGGAAGGAAGGGAAGGCATTTAAACATGCCTTCTTGCTCTCCCTTCTCTCCCTGTGGGTATAACAGACCCAAATACTTTTGGAAATACCAAATATTTCCCAGTTCTGAATACTGTACTGGTATCAGTTCTTGGGAAATTCAGTATTTACCAATATTTTTGGGGTCTGTTATACCCGAAGCCAAAAAATACCAATATTTTTTTTCTTGCACACCCTAAGCAACACCATCCTATGCCTGCTGTCATGCTGCCTACCCCAAGGCTGCTGCAGTAGTAGATAGCAGCAGCAAGTACATCACACTTCCCACACGCTGCACTCGTAGCCAAGGAACTTGCTTAACTGGAAGTTTGCCTCTGCAGAAGTGGGCACAATTCCTGATTCTACTATTGTTGCACTGATTTCATACAGTTTGCTCTCCTAACTGCACCCCCCCCCCACCATCCTTGTGGGTCCTGCATCTTCTGCTTTTGGGGACCAAAAAGGTCTACTGAATGAAGGGGAACGCAAAGAAAACTGGCCGTGGTTAGTAGTATCTAATACATGATCTTTATGTTTTCACTACAACATTGATTACTTTCAGTAGTAAATGAAATACTTGGCTTCTTTAAAATCACCAATACCCTCTTCCCTGCAATTCAGTTCCTTTATGCTAGTATTTGATAAGAAAAACACATTGATTTCCTACTACTACTTCCATGGAGATACATACAGAGGCTACTAGAAAGAAGTCTCTGAGAATACCTAATTCTTCCAGTGAAGGAACACCATACTTCTCATCATGGTCATCAGAAACAGGGGTAGTACACTTTGACATGACTTCTGCAGCGATCGTTTCTACAGGCATCTCCAGTGGCTCCATTCGACTGATTAGAGTTTGGAATCGTTTATAGGTAAGAGGTGGCTGTCCTCCATTTAATTCTATAATCCTATGTATACAGAAGCCCAAATTTAGTTAGAACACACTTGTTCAAACATACAATATTTTCTAATGCAATTATATATTTATCTTCTGTAACATAAATTACCTTGTTTCTTCAGGTACTACAGCTGAATTCCTTACTAGGGAAAGAAGCCTAATGGGATTTTTTAAGACTGACTGTAAGAAATATTGGTCATATAAGGAAGAAAGCCTGAGTCTACAACAAGACAACAGACATTTCCAAACCAAGCAATTTTTTTAAATGAAGCTGGGATTTCTTCTTGTCACAGAAACTATAAAGAGGGATGTATTCAGAAGAGCTCTGCCAAGTTCTATCTGAAATATATGCATTCATTCATGATCACAGTTATTTCTGAACAGTAACATAGGGTATAACAACAACTTCTCTCCTTTAAATTTAGCAAGTGGTAACTTACTTGTCTAGATCATACAGAGTATGTGAAATTCGTACAATGACTTCGACTCCTGCTTCGCTAGCCAGCTTCTTAATTGCTGCATCTCTCTCCTTCCCAAATGGCTCAGAATCATATTCAATTGAAAGTTTTGTAATATTCCATTCCTAAAATTTGAGAGACGAGGCTTTTAAAGGATTAATGGTTCTCAGAGACAAGAGAAAAATACTTCTACTTTAACTGTTTCAATTCTGCTTAGCTTTACTGTACAATATGATAAAACAAGCAAGCAACCTACAAGGACCTGCAGGGGGGCACCTCATTTTCCCCTGTATCCCTTTCCCCACATGTCTTCTTTCCCTTCTCCTAGCAAACCCCATATCCTCAATTTCCTTGCTTCCTTTCCATTCATCAATCAACCTACCTTTTATCAGCTCTGCCCATCTCTAGCTGTTCTGTTTATTTCATTTATGCCCTGCCTTTCTCCACAACGTGAACCCAAAGCAGCTTACATCATTCTCCTCTCTTCCATTTTATCCTCCAAACAACCCTGCAAGGTATTTTAGGTTGCGAATATGTAACTGACCCAAGGTCACCCAGTCAGCTTCCACAGCAGAGCGGCAAAATCTCAACTATTACACCATACAGGATTTTGTGGGTCAGCTGCTGTTGAAGAGTGACAGCAGCCAGTCCTGGGTGAATAATGCAAGTCACGTGGTATCATCACCCAGTGGGTGCTGCAAGTCCCTTAATGAGTCCTCCTCAAAAGACCTAAGCAGCCTTGAAATGGGCTTTGCACGCTACCCCTGCCTTTTACTGACACAAGCCAAGGCATGAAGGCTGGCAATACTGTTTCTTATAGCTACAGGTACTGCTTCTATTACCTGGGGGAGGTTCAATCCCCTTTTTAAGATTTCAAATATTTCTGCAAATCTGGGGAATTTCAGGTTTGAGAAAAGGTTCGTCTTGTCTGTTTCTGGATCCAATTTCTCAAATGAAGCATCCAAAAAATTACATACATTGCTAAAAACTATCCAAGATTTTTTAAACCACAAAGATATCAACTGTGTTAAATAATAGAGGACCCAACAGCTTTTGAGTATATGCAATATAGTATTCTTTCTATGTATGCAAACCAAGATTTTGGTCATAAAAGGTTTTGAGCAGGCTGGAGGAGCTGCAGATTGTACATCTCTCTAGAAGCTGCTGTTAAACATAACTGGCAAGAAATAGATCCCATCCCACAATCAAATGAATCTAGTACTTTTGGATGCAAAGTTGGAGTGCTTTGACAACCACATTTCTGCTCTAATCATGCTGAAGAGGGAACTAGAATGATTAAAGAATGGGGCAGCTCTTCCAGTATGAGAAAACAAGTTAAAAGTTCTGTAAAACAGCTCAGGTTGCAAAATACATTCTTATTCACCACTGCTCCTCTTGCCCCACCAAAACTCACCTTAAACAGCCTAGGAAACACATCTGCAGGCTGCCCTCGGATAACAAACAAACGTGAATTTAACTTCCGTAAATTGGCATCCAAGTCCTCAAGACACTGAAGCAGAAACCTATAATGAAGACATGAGAAATTAAGAACTATTTTCCACTTTCTTTAAGTTCACAGAAGTAGTAAAACAGTAAAGGCAAATGGTGTTAAAACCAATCTCAAGTTCTGCACATTTATTTTTGTACATGATCATAATACTCTGTTTATATATTACTTTTCCTAAGTGCTCAAATCATTTAACACCATTCTCAGCCATTCTTTTAACAACCCCATCAGGCAAGGAAACAGTGCTGATTACAGATGTATGATTGGGACTGACCAGTACTGGCCAGTCTGGGTCTGCAGAGCTAAGTCCTCAGCTTTGGGGCCTCCCATCACTGTTTTACTACCTGGTACAGCTGTGTTACAGTTTTTGCATTCATATAAGCCTGGGGGAAGGTAGACATGGAGGAAATGCACACCTGAGCATTGGGAAGCCCCACTGTATGTCTGAACATAGGAAACTGCTTTACTCAGAGTACTGGTCCATCTAGTTCAATTCTACCTATTTTTACTGGCATCACTTCTCCAGGAAAGGATTTTCCCATCAACTGTAACCAGAGATCCTTGTACAGAGGTCACTGCACTTTCATGAGAAAATAAAACTTGATCTCAAGAAATGTCTTTATAGAGTAGGCAAGTGGAAGGCATCAGACAAAATATAGCAAGAACATTTTGAACGGAAAGTAGTATTTGAGAAAAATCTTACAAGAACTACATACACCAGCTCTTATTAACAGATACTTCCAGCTGTAATAATTAAATTCAACCATGCCTGATTAAAACCAAGACCAGGTATTAAGGCTGGCAAGTGTTAAATTAGAATTCCTTTGTTTTGGTTACTGTACTGCAGGATTCAATAACACTGTGGGGAAAACCTTTCCTAGGAAAAGGCTTACTCAGAGTCATTAGCTTCTCTTTGGGCTATGGACAATTAATAACGAATCAGTTCAGATTTTGACAAGCATTGGCAATCTGTTACACATGATGGGTCATAGGATCTAGTCAACTAGATGCATATGCCACTGGGCAGAAGAAATGTGCACCAATGCAGAAAGGATGCAGTCAGTTTTCATAACCATTCCAAGTAAAAAATAAAGACAAAATAGAGTGAATCATATGTTCAGAAGTATGCCTGGAGTACAGATTACTCATTGCTACATGCAGAAAGTTTATGCCCAGTTGTCAGACTTCCCACAGCATCAACGAAGTACACACTTGTAGAAAGGTTTTACTTTATTTGAAGCTATAGGTGCATGGACAAAATCACTGTTCAGAATGAAGGGTGAGCAAAGAGCATGGCATGTTATAGTATATTCAAACTACTGAGGCCCAATTGCGGGGGTTCCCCCGCGCGCCATCGGGGCCTGGGAGCAAACGCTTCTAGGCAGCATATGTTATGTCTTTCTCACGGTGCTTCGTGAGAGCCTCCAGCAACTAACAAGCAGCGGCAACCACCTGTGGCCTTGAGAGATATAGACGTTTCGGCAGGCTAAGCAATTATGCGCTTCAACAGTTCTACATATGAAAGTGAAAGCAAACAAGCGCACACAGAAAGAATAAAACAAAACATTGGCAGCTTGCTGACACCAGTGTGCACTAATTTGTGTACAACCAACAGCTAACATATCAACATAACATATCAACAACCTCAGATATGCAGACGATACCACTCTAATGGCAGAAAGTGAAGAGAATCTTAAGAGCCTCTTGCTCAGGGTAAAAGAGGAGAGCGCAAAAGTGGGCTTGAAGCTCAACATCAAAAAAACTAAGATCATGGCATCTGGCCCCATCACTCCTTGGCAAATAGAAGGGGAAGTCGTGGAAGTAGTGACAGACTTCACGTTCCTGGGATCCCAGATCACCGCAGACTGTGACAGCAGCCATGAAATTAAAAGACGCCTGCTCCTTGGGAGGAAAGCGATGGTGAACCTAAACAGCATGATAAAAAGTAGAGACATCACCCTGCCAACAAAAGTCCGCATGGTCAAAGCAATGGTATTCCCAGTAGTCATGTATGGCTGCGAGAGTTGGACTATAAGGAAGGCCGAGCGCCGAAGAATAGATTCTTTTGAACTATGGTGCTGGAGAAGACTCTTGAGAGTCCCTTGGACTGCAAGAAGATCAAATCAGTCAATCCTCAAAGAAATCAACCCTGACTGTTCCCTGGAAGGCCAGATAATGAAACTGAAGCTCAAATACTTTGGCCACCAAATGAGAAGGGAGCACTCACTGGAGAAGACCCTGATGCTGGGAAAGATTGAAGGTCAAAGAAGACGGGGACGGCAAAGGATGAGATGGTCAGACAGTGTCATAGATGCAACGAACATGAAATTGAGCAAACTTCAGAGGACGGCGGAAGACAGGAAGGCCTGGCGTGATCTGGTCCATGGAGTCGTGAAGAGTCGGACTCGACTGTGTGACTGAACAACAACAACAACAGCTAAACTAGCCATAGTCTCCCCTCTACTGTACAACTACAGGTAAACAGGACTAAAAATAAACAGACTGTGCAACCTGGAGCAATGTCGTAGTAATGATACACCTATCTGGATCATTATGTCAATGCAAGGTGCAGATTTTAAAAAACATTTTTATCCTATACAATCATTAATACTGACAAGGTCTCTTACATTTTTTGCATATTGCTGTTAACATCTTGAAAGCAGTATCAAAGATGAAATTAAGGTACTGCTCCAAATACCCTATGAAATAACTGTTTCAGCCTGCTGTTAGGTAGGCTGCCCACAATATTTCATACAACTGGAAGATACAGAAAAATGGCCTTAGCAAATGATCAAGACAGCAAGAAAGGATCATGTGGCCTAAGTGCTTACTTTCAAGTCACTTGCTGCATTCACTATTAATTTCTCTTTAAACAGGGTGTTGAAAGAAAATGAAGGATTTCATCCTTTTATAGAATGATTAAAAGTTTTAACCTGCCTCTCACCACACATGCCAACTCAGTTCAGCTTACAAAGCAACAAAATCTTTTTTTTTTAAGTTTCAGATGCCTAAAATGTCAACAATCTCCTCTTATATCCAAAAATAAAATCTTCCAATCTAATACTTAAGTGCCCACTAGAAAATATTCGCCTTATACTGCTTGTAGAATTGGGGCAAATTAGGGGCCCTCATCACTGCTTATGGGACACCATTCCAAAAAGCCACAACCACTCAGGCCTGTAGCTACAGTGGGGCCTCCTGGGGCCCAGCCTCCCCAACTTCCTGGCAAGGCCCCACGACTATGTATCCATCTCAGCCCCCCTGACTCTCTAGGTCGCCTGGAGGACTCCCTGCTGAAGCTAGTGGCAGCATGGGGCTCCCAGGTGAGGCCAGCCATGCACTTGGAGAATTAGGTCACGGGCTGCTGAGGTGGGGCCAGTGGGAACTTTTGCTCAAGAAGAAGCCGGGGGCGGCAGGGACTGTGGACCGCAGATGCATCAAAAGCTGGGCCATAGGGGGCTGGTGCCGAGAAGCCAAGGGTGGAGTGGGGCATCTGCACCACATGGACCCTTCTGTGGCCACCGCCGGTGAACGCGCCTCCCACCTGCCTGCACCTATCCTGACCGGGAGGCAGGAGAAGAGACGCCACTGTGGCCTGGTGCTATCCCTCCTTCTGAATCTCTGGGTGGTGGGTGAGGGAGAGACAGAGTTTCTCTGCAGGGCTCTGCTGGCTGGGGCTCTTCTGTACGGAGTGGATGCTGGGGGCTGGAGAGGCTGAGAAGGTGCTGCTTTGGCCAGAAGCCACCATCCTCCTCTATGTACTCTGGAGAGAGATCCCTGGCTGTCTTGGTTTCCCTGGCCCTTGCAGAGGCCTGGGAGACCATTTCGGTCCCCACCCGGCAGCTTCTGAACACACCCAAGTCCTGGGGAGGGGATTCCCCCCCTTGCTTGAATCCCAGGAGTTTGCTGCCCAGGGCGGGAGCTGCTTTGCAGGGCGCTGGTGCCCTTGGCCTGCCTTGGGCATCCTTGAGCACACTCTTCCACTTTACGGTGCTGTCCCTCCAGCTGCTCCTCGCAGAAGGAAGCGCAGAGGATGTCGGTCTCAAGTCCCCAGCAAGCCCCACTCCCTCTGCACTGCCCCCTCCCCTCTGTGGGGTCTGGGGCCAAGGAGAGCCTAGCAGGCTGGCGCTTGGGGATGGCAATGCAGGAGGGCACTGTGGAGGTTAATGGGAAGACCAGCTGGGGCGGTGGTAGGCAAACTGCAGCTCGGGAGCCACATGCGGCTCTTTGGCCCCTTGAGTGTGGCTCTTCCACCGTACGCGCTGACGGCCTATTCCCTCCATTGTTCTCTATGGTGGGAAAAAAGAAACTTTTTTCCCGCCATAGAGAACAATGGAGGGGATGGGGCAACCTGTTTGGGGCCCCGTAGAATTGGACCCCCTGGTTCAATGTTCCTGAAACATGGCAGGTATCTTGGGCAGAGGCTCCAGCAGCTACCCTGTGATTCTAGAGCCTCTCCCTCAAACTCCCTCCCCTCCAGCCCCCAGAATATACCCTATGTTTTCGCCATTGACTTCAATGGCCCATAGGATATAATGGGGCCGAACTGCAGGAAGCCCCAGCAGCCCTCAGGCCGGAGCACCTGGAGCAGTCTTGGGAGGCGGATTGGCAAAAAGCAAAACCAAAAGCACAGGAACTCAAGAGAACTCCAGGAATGGAGCCGATTCCTCTTCCACAGCCCAAAATGCGACCCACAAACCCTGAGTTTGCTTTTTCTCATTTGCGAGTCTGGCCTCCGCACTCCTTTAACGAGGCAGCCCCGAAGCTTGGGGCGGCGGGAGTTTCTTTGCATGCAGCTTGTGCAAAGAGGCTGAGTGCCTCTTCTGCTTGCCCACCTCTCGCCTCTGCACCTCATCTTATGCCAGGCATGGAGGAGCCCAGCTCGCCCAGGCTTCTTGCCTCCTGCTGCCTTGGCCCTCTGGTGCACGGGTGAGTCCCCAAAGTTTGACTCTTCCTCTACAAGTCTCTGGTGCTGGAGGTATTCGCCTCCTTCCCTCCTGCCTGCT